CACAGCTGTATGCCAAACAACAGAGAGAGGGGGAAACGCACCTAGCTTAAGCCCTGCTCTCAGTAGCCAAAATGAGGGCATATGTCTTAAGAGGGTGAGGGCTAGATCCCCACGTAGATCCATTAAGATTGCCAAGTAAACTGCCGTGGGTCTTGATTTTGGCAGTCAATTTCTATTAGATGGTTGTACTGGAGACCTATCAAGAACAATGCCAGAACATACCAGATGTGCACTGTGCTGCAGTTAGTATCCTCTGTAGAAAGCACACAAGTCCCAAATGACAGAGGCACTATCTAAGTGAGAAATGCACTTAGATAATTTCGAAGCATTCAGCTGCCATCACCTATTTATTACAGCCAGAGCTGAATATAGATGCCTAATCAAAACATCTTCCTCAAGGTCAGAAAAGCTCTGATATTCTCATACTCAGGTGGCGTCATCACTGCAGATTAACCTTTCAAAACGAGTTTTGCTCATGTACAAGTTGAATGGGACAGACAACACTATTGAGTCTTGAGCTTACAAGGTCTCAAACAGCAACATACAGTCAAAGTCTAGCTAAGCAAAAAAACCCAAACTACATTAATGTAGGAAAACAGAATTCATGCAGAATTTTGGACAGTTTCATAGCAAACTAACATGCTGTACCAAATTTTCAATAGACATCCAGTGAAGCATTCTAATAGTAGTTTTTTAACTTTATCCAATGGCTGTTTTCTGCATGAGTTCTCAGAGGTACTGCAAACACAACAAAGAACATTTTGCTCCAGTTGCTGTGCTGTACATAACTGGCAAGATCCACCTGACAGTGACCTGATAATGCAACACATGTTATAGAAAATCCTGAACAATGATAGACCGTAGAAATTGAGTGAATGACTCAAAGAGAATTTATGGTGCTGATGGAATGTAGATGGGATAAAAATGTGCAGCTTAAAAAAGGCATCTGAAGTATTGTCAGAACCACCTGGTCTCTTGTACAGGTAGTTTGCATTCTTCTGTAATTAAAATGTTTCATTGAGCCTAGTTAACATTATACTTACAGCCCTACTTTCATTATTATTTTGCAGTCTTCATAAATGCCATGGACAAATTTTATCAGGATTTGAATTTTGTGATAATACTTAATAATCAAGATTAGCTCTGATCTTTACAAAACTCTAAAGACACCTATATTTTAAGATTTACTTTTCAGATCAACTGCATGGACTATTTTTAATCCATTTAACATATTATTGCTATTGCATAGCATACATTTTTTATCTGAACATCATAATAGTAGGTTAGACATCTTAAAAACCAGTATATTAAAATTAATAGTAACCTTTATCAACTGCCTTTTACCACCTTCCAGGAAATAAATCAGATTTATTCAATGAAATTTAGTTTCCATAAAAGCATTCTAAGAAGTATAACTATAATCTTATGCTTTAATATTTTAATAATTGAATTTCATATCAGATTTTCAGTATTTTCCCCAGAAATGAGGTTAGGCTAATGAACCTAAAATACTGCCTTTTCTGAATATTGACTCAATAGTATCCTTCTTTTAGATTCAAGGCAGTGTTGTAACATAAATACCCTAACTTTGAATATTTATTCAAAAGGAAGACCAGCAAGAGAATTAAACAGCAAACTTGTTAGCTATAAAAATTCTCAATTTAAGAATACTATTTTTTTAATAAAATGTTTAAAATCTTCCCTTGGCTACTAAAAGACTGGGGATATTGTAATATCTTCATATAACATTAGCCTACTTCATTCCAGACACAGAAACGAAATATTCACGCAAGACCTCTTTCTTTATACAGTTACAGATTTTTTTTTATCTAATATAGATTGTATGCACCCTGTAATAGCTACCTTATTAATAGTACATTTTTAAATACTGCCCGTTTATTATTGTTCTTGTCTTGCTACCCACAGATATCTTCTTGATTTCTTTAGTCTCTTCTCCATCCTTTATAGTCTATTATTGCTCATACTTTCAGGTTATTATCTATAATTCATTTCCAATTCCTTTATATTGCCTTTTTATTTCTAAATATTTTGTTAACTTTCCTATTAAGCTGAAATAGATATTTATAAGGAGTTACTCTCTAATTATGGAACTGTGGTTTTTTGGTTACTTAATAAACTGTTACACTCCAAAATTTCTATTCATATTTCCTACTAGCCTATATCTTCCTCATACAGCTTTGGAGAAATGAACTGCTCTGAATCGACCTATTTTAGATGCCCTGTTAGTTCCCACTGAAAGCAATTCAAGACATAACATCTGATCCCTATACCATGCTCCCACAAAAATAAGTCCAATAATTACTTACAACGTATTGGATACAGCAACTTTCGTTTGCAATTATTTCTTCCATGATTTTTGGAAACTATTAAATAGATGCTACAATTCAGCTATTTTATTTCATTGCATAAGTGTCCTAAATTGGAGTGCCCACAGCAATGCAACTTTTTACTGTATATTGCAAATATGGGCTCAATTAGTAACTCATCATAATGTGATTCAGTTATGTACACTGTACTTGTACCAGAAACCACTCCCCCAGGTTTTTTTACTTAGTATCTTGACCCAGATGGATTCAAGATCCTGTGATTCTGTGTTATAAATAACTCTAAAAGCCAGTAACACTGTCCGGTATAAACAGAAAGAGTAACACTCTCTTCTCTGAAGTTCCTCTGTTGTCTTATTAATAGCTGTAACCATTAATTAGTAACTGAAATAATTTAATTGTTTTATGTTAAAAAAAGAACTATGTAATGTCACAATGTATTCCAGACATGGAATAAGTAAAAAAAGCAACTGCATTCAATTTATGAATGAGAAGATTACAATTGCACTCTGAAAACAAGTAAGGCTTATGAAGCCATCAGAATAGAAGACAAATATGTTAACCTGTTTAAGTAAGATAAAGGTTAAACTTATCTCTATACAGAAAATATTACTCAAGTTACTGAAACTGGAGAACCAAGGTCAGGGGAAAACTGACAGCTACCTGGAAGAAGAGAGTAGAAATGATACAGACCAGACTTCAAAGGAAGAGTTGGTGCAATAAGGAGTACTGCTACTTATCACAGTATTACCACAATACCTGGATCTTGCCACGCAGGTTATAACATCAGATACACAAGAGGTATTTTAACAGGATTTACTTGATATACTGCGCAATTCCACTGAATCGCCAAGGATTTTCAACAATATTTTTTTACAGTGGTACACCATGAATAGAATCTGATTTTAGCACCTAACTAAACAAATTAGTCTACTTCGAAACTCCTTATTCATCAACATTTCACTTATAGACAGCATCTTAATTTTCAAAAAAAATCTTTCTGCAGAGGAACGGTACTCAGCAAAAATCTTACTTGAAATATGCATGCATATTCTTTTTATCCGGGCAAGGAACTAGGTATTTAGCTTTATTAGCTAAATACTATTATTATTATTATTATTATTATTATTATTTAGAGAGAAATTACATATTAACATTCTTTTCACATGCAGTACAATTGTGTAAGTGCTAATGAATATTCATGGCAACTAACACTGAAGCTGTCATCTTATTCAACAATGAATGAAGTTATCATAATACTTGCTAATGGGTGATTTTGCTCATTACAGTTACTTTTGAGAACAGAATACCTTTTACTTTCCCTTTTTTTAATGTTCTACAAACTTGGGAAAACAGTCAAACACGAAAGGTCTGAGAACTGCCATGTAGAGTGACTTCTTATCAGATGACAAAGAAAGAAGATATAATGCACAAGTATTTAAGTTACTAAATTTCAATCACCAGTTGAAAGTTATTCTTGAAGAGATAACTATATATGCCTTCTTTTTATATGTAGTGCATCAAAATACCATTATTCTTTACTTTGGATGCTACCACACTTGCCCAAACATATCTGAAAGATGCTCACCTCTACAGAGATCCAAGAAAAGTAGAAAACATGGTTTAATAAGTTATAGTCTTGTTTGAAAGTAGGTATATAGTAGATATATGCTAAATTAATAAAATCATAGAATCATAAAATATCATGAGTTGGCATTGATCAACAATGACCATCCAGTCCAACTCCTGGCCCTGCACAGGGCCAGTCCCAAGAATCACATCATGTGCCTCAGAGTTTTGTCCAAACACTTCTTGAACTCTGTCAGGCTTGGTGCAGTGACCACTTCCCTGGGGAGCCTGTTCCCGTGTCCAACCTCCCTCTGGGTGAAGAACCTTTTTCCCTATATCTAACCTAAACCTCACCTGACACAACTTCAGGCCGTTCCCTCAGATGCTATGTATTCAAGACAGATACATACTGAATAGGTTTTATATTTCTTAATTATGTGGTGAATATTTCAGAAAAATAAATAATATTTACATTTCAAATATTAAATTATAAAACACATATTAGTGTATTCAGTGAAACTTTTCACTGATTTAGTATGACGAAGTGATCTGTCTGACACCACCAAGACAGTATTGTTGCATGATGCACTATAGCAGTTTGTTAAGTATTTAGCTGAAATAAGGAAATAATATTCTATATACTGTTACTAAAACTGCTTTCAATTTTGCAATATAGAGGCTTCCTTATTCAATATTTCTAAAATAAAAAGTATGTGCATATGGAAAATTATGTACTTCACATTGATCAACAGATATGAATTATTATATGAAATGTGTTGGGAATTTTTTCGCTGCAGAGTAGTCTGGTATAAAACTAAGCACTTTTTCTTGGGAACAAGTATATGGCAGCCATATATATAAAGATAAGAATTACTGAAGTCTTTGTAAGTCTGGGAGAGAGACCTTGATTCTTTCTCCGTATTTAGACCAGTTCAGACCTGACACCAGACCACTGCAGGAACTACAAAGATTGTTCCAGAAAATGGAATGCACCAAAGATCAGCTCTTGCTTAATCTTTTACATTTTTCTTTCAATCAAAATTACCGTCATTTAGGTGAACACTCAAAGAAAATCAAAATTCAAACCTTTACAAATGTCTTGAATTCTTCTACTTTGTCACTTGTGAGCAGCAACTTCTTCTGTACCGTTTCCAAAGCCTCTGCACTCTGTTTAGCCAAGCTATGTAGTTTATCAGATGTAGCAGTCTCAAGTTCAGTCATAGCACATTCAGTCTCAATGATTTTGCTCTCTAGTTTGGTAAGCTTGAGATCCTGAAATACATCCGCAGAGACACAACAATGCTATGATAAAAGCTGATAAGGAGTTATGGTAGATCACAAATGTATGAACAAACCAACCTCCCACATCATGATTAACATCACAGAATATTCCACTTGCAACACATAAAATGTAATTTAATGGCAAAAAGTAATCTCATTTTCAGTCATTATGTCCATGTTTCAGTATCTAAATTTTAGAGATGTGACTGAATCAGAAGAGAGAAAAAGGTTACTATTATTCTGCTCTTTTCTCCCTTTCTGTATTTAAAAAGTCTAAGCTGATGACCTTGCAACTTTTCATTTGAAAGAAAGGTATGAAAAAGTTCCACAGTGCAGCCATCACAACTCTAATTATACCTTTTTCTCCAATTCATCTTTAGCCTTGTGATACATCTGCTCATACTGAGACTTCTCTTTCGTAGCTACATTAAGTCTTTGTTTCAGTGAGTCAATGGAAGTTTTTTTGCCTGAACAGTCTTCAGCCAGTGCCTTTACCTGAAATAATGAAAGGCCAAGAGCATTGACTATATATATCAAGATGCATAACTAAAAAATTAAAATAAAATCAAAACTAAGCCTACCTATATTACATTAACATACTTCTGCTATATAATTTTATTGAAATATTTTTTTTCAGAAATTACAGTATTTATTAAATCTCTACTGCTGATCCAGTAGAGACCAGTTTGCACACAACCTTTTAACATGAGTTTTGACTTGTATTAAGTCAAAACTTATTGTTTGTTTATATATATTCTATATATATCTGCAGAACTGTTTGTTTATATATATTTTAGAGTTACAGTACTTGCAAAAGGGAGCCATCCACAACTGCTACTCATTTCTTCTGTTAGAGGTAAAAACATAATTCAACTAAGAAAACAACTGTCTACATGTTAATAGTCTGTAGAGCTTCCTAGATAATTATTATCTAATGCAAACACTGATTTGGGGTAAAATGAAAAAGACCAGTGCTCCTGATAGTATTAATAGATCAGTCATCACTCCTGATAGTATTAATCACAAAGTTTTCCTGACAATATCGAGTAACAGGGAATTTCTCTGATCTTTTGGTGAAGATAATGTAAAATTTATCAAGCTGATTTTCCACCCAGAATAATCAAAATAATGCATGGGATTTGACTCTCTGGAAATGCAGTGTTTAACATACTCAAAGGAGAGCATTAAAGCACATAATTCCATTCCAAATCTTTTACCTAAAACCAAAACCCCGTATTTCTCTCATGTCATACTTTAGCTTCCTTGCTTACTTATCTTCTCACTTTCTGGCTGTGGTTTTCCTAATAACATCTTATCTTTGGCATGTAAGGTAAGATAGTAGCTCTCTTTAGAGCTGAAAGTGCTATATGACTGCAAGTAGAGATAATGCTTGTGATATTCAGCAAGCACACTCATTCTAGGCAAACACAAGCAAATTAGTAAATTGTTTATTTCTATTTTGGGATTGCAAGAGGTATAACCTCACAGACAAACAAACATCATAATCTTTTTCTGGCATTAAAGACCGAAGTCCAATATATCAGCTGGATAACATAGAAATATGCCAAAGCATATACAAGTTCTCCTATCTTCAATGAAATAATCCTAAAAATGTGCAGGATAAAATAATTTGAAGTCAAGCATTACCTACACAGATACAATTACATTAAGCTAAGAACTGTGAATCATTCATAACACTGCAGTTGAAAACAGATTAACATATTAAAGCATTTAACTACTATAGCCAGGAGAGATGCATGAACTTCATTAGCATATGTCATGTAAAATCACCCTTGTTTCAGGTCTCCTATATTTTATAAACATACAGTGCATAAAACTAAATCCCACTACTTACAGCATATTCTTGCAACTGTGTGTTCTGAATACTTTAATATTTAATTACACCTCTAATGAAGACACATTAAATTATGCTGGATTCATTCAAGCTATCACCATATACTGATTTCATACAAATCATAGTGGAGGGAATTACACATTTAAATGAACTATATCTTGTTTGCTTAAAGCAATATATTGATTTAATATGCATAGTGTGTTGAAATAACTTTCATAAATCCACTAGCTTCCGTTTTTCCTAAAACTAGGAATTGCAAGAAAGAAATACCTTTCTCTCAAGACTTTCCAATGTTTCATTTGAGGTTTTCTCATTTTCTTGACTTGCTTTCAGATGAGACTTTAGGTCTTCTATCAAATGTCTTTTCACAATAAAGTCCCTCTCCAATCGAGAAATTCTACAAGGGAAGAAGTCAGACTCATGACACTCAGAAAATTTTCTTAATATGCAACTAATGCAGTAGACAAACTATTATTCCTGTAGCTTTAAAATACTTTTTCAAACAATAGCTGATGCAATTCTTGCAATTTCCCCCATTCTCAACTACTAAACCCAGTTTCAAACTCTTATTAAACAGACCTATTTCTAAATATGCAATATATTTGTGATTTGCTTTTTGCTTGCTGAACTGAAATCACAGTAATTCTTAAACTATTATCAAAAAAGACAAAAGAAACCTGCTGAGCATGCAAAACTTAATAATTAAATTCCTTTGATGTCTCAAGCAATCATTCAGACACTATTTTGTATAAAATTATTTTCAAAAGAAAGTGAAATGGGGAACTCTCCTTTCATCCAACTAATATACAGAAATAGATGAAAAATCTCTATCCCTATATGTCAGATGAGATAAAATGCAAAACCTAGAAATAACATCAACATTTGTCAGAAAATTCTCTGATAAATAAAAAAGAAAGTCTCACGTACCACAAACTAATCAGTTCAATGAGAATGCCTTATACAGTACTTCCATGATCATGATACAAATTAATATTGTAAATATAAATATAATCAATACCTGAATATGTTCAGACATCTGGATTTTTTTCTAATGAAAGCAAAAGGATTGACAGCAATATGTTCAGGAATACAACATAGTTAATACAATGTCAATACCATATTAAAAAAACACCCAGGAAAATAGTGCACCTAAAATTTTCTTCAATCTGTTTCACTCTAATACTAATAATGTTATTTTGGTGACTATATATTACAGGTTATGAAAAAACAGTATCTGTCTTTTCAAGAAACCATGACATCCAATAAGTATTTTGAATTTAAAATCTTACGGTGGAAAAATTCATTTTCATTTTGAAACAGAAAATAAACAATGTACACAATATAACCACTTTAAGCACTGTCTATTTTTCACAAGAACTAATTTCAGAGAAGTAAAGTGCATTCTTTCTACAATTAAAAAAATTAGAATTGTTAGAGGAGTTAAATTCTGGACAGACAAAAAATTCACAGATACATAAATAGCTTTTTTATACTTTTTATAGTAATATCATTGAATAACAGATTTATATCAGTTAAGGTAGGTAGAATAAAAATCTCAGTTGCATACTTGACAATTTGTGATTTTAAAAATGAGTAGTAAACCTTAATCATTTCAAATAGAAACAAATACAACTGTCTTTTTGAACTTTTTTAATGAAGATAAGAGTAGCTATTTAATCTTATTTAAGCATCTGAACCTTGACATGTCTCTTAGCCCCTAGGCAAAGAATTACTGAATTTGAAAGACTGTGTTTAACAGTGCTGAGGAATTCATTTTGACTTACATCAAGGATAAAAAGTCTACTCTAGAGTCTGAGTTTTTATTTAAGTTATTCTTACCACAATACAGATACCGTAGTTAATCTCTTATCAGTTTACAACTCTAGCATGTACTGCTGCAGTTTCTAAAAAAAACCCTGTACCAGTCTGCAAGACTGCAATAAAAAGAATACAACAGTCTCTTAGAAATCTAAGAATGCTAAACGTTGTAGCAATTTTACAGCTGTCACTGGGTGGCACCAAACACAATGGATAGAAAAGTGACCATACTTTGCTTGTAGTTCCCGAATCCGTTCTTCTTTTTCCTGAACTTCGTTTTTTAGGGACTTAATGGTGGTCGATTGCTTAGTGATTTCATTATTCGAATTCTGTATTGAAAAATATTAAAATATAAATAAAGTAGACTGAATATGATCGCAGTTAACAGGAAATTTGGAAATATTGAGCTGAGTAAACTTTCATGTATTTTATGAAAGTTCTTAGAAATTAACTGGTGCAAAATGAGCATTCTTACTTTCTAGAAACACTTAAGTAGAAGCACATTTCTTGGAAAATATGATAAAAAATGAGTACTTTTCCATTGTTCTAATCATGTATGATTAATGTATGTTCCCCAGGGCACCTGCAAGCCCAGTGCACCTATAACGACTGTATTTTCTCTTGGATGACATAGATGAAAAGGTAACAGAAAAGAAAACTAGATCTTTATTTGAACTACATCTTTGAATGGTATAGTTCTACAGCACAAGGGGCCTACATCTACATAGCAATAATGTCCAATAATTCCTTTCCTGTGCTTTTACAAATACAAGACAATCTACGAGAGTGGTTGTTTTTTTGTCACTTGAAATTCAAAGCACAAGACAGAGACATTTCCATTTGCCTGTACTAACACAAATTCTACATTTCAGTAACAAGCAGGTATGATCCTAATATTCAGGCATATGTAATTCCAATGAAGGAGAATTATACAGTTGTTGGCCATTCCTCATTGCATACAGTAATAAGAAAAAAAGTGCCTCAATTGCTCCATGCAAACACGTCATCTACCCAAGATTTAAATACAGAATAAAAGAATCAGTGTACAGATATAAAAATATGAAATTTAACTAAGTAGCCATCTTAGCAATCTGAGTATTTGCATTGAATGCCATTGCTGAAAATGGCACATCAAACACATCGCATAGAGAGATTTCAGAACTCCAAAAGGTGTTGCCGAAAGATACATACACGTCAAGCATAAGCACAACATATATGTGTGCATCTACGCACAGAGGTTCAGAAGCTGTACAACAGCTTTTTATTCACTATATATAAACAACAAGCAAACAGATCAGATGCTGTAAACAAAGATACTTCAGGAGAATTTCTCTGCTCAGTGCAGACTGGTAATGCCTATTAACATTAATGGGAGTATTGTACATAACTCTGTGCCTCTCAAGGGGAGTATATATTCTTGTGTGCATTGTTAGATGTAAAATATTGTTCTTAATAACTTGTCTAGTCTATTTAGTATTATTATAATGTGAGGTATAACCAGATAATTGTTAAAATGATGTATGCTAGCAGAATATTCCTGAGTTTCCTGAGACCTGTTTGTGGAGGTTGAGCTTCATTAATGTAGAGAACAGCACCCTGTTACACAGTTACACATAAGATGTGAACTTGAACACTTAGGTGGGCCTCTGCACATGCTCAAAGGCAGAGACATATGATTGTGGTATTTCGCTTTCAAACTCACCACCCACACTTAAAACATTTATTTCTATTGGCAAAGATACCAGGAGCCATTACATACAACATAAACACTGCAAAGATAGCTCTGAGGAAAAAAAACTAAACAACAAAACCAGGTACTTTGATATTTTGAGCTATAAGGAAAGCTTTTGTTGCTTACACATTCAGATATTTCAGAGAATAACTTTGTATCTCCTTTTTAAGTAAGATAGATAGTCTGGAACAATAGTTTTATTCCAGACAAACAACTTTTGCCAAATTCTTCTCTAAAAAATGACTTGCAGAGCTTAAATTAGCCTTAAATAAAGTTAGGAATTTTAGATACTTGATTTAAGCAGCTCTTGAGGCCCTTACAGTCAAAACTCTCATCCAATTCAGAAAGCAGCGAATTTACTCTGTTACTCAGCATTTGGGGGTCACAGACTATTTTCACCCTAAATACCATTTTGCATATATGGCATATTGTTTCATCAAAAATCATAGAATCACAGAATAGCCTGAGTTGGAAAGGACCCACAGGGATCACCAAGTCCAACTCTTAAGTGAATGTGTGGGTGTAATATATTTTGAAAAAGGAATTAAAAGTCATGCTAGTATTCTGACATCAGATTTATTGATGCTTGCTAAACATTTCCTTTCCTACAGAAACGAAAAAGCCTTGTATTTTTCAGCTATTTATTTTGCTGTTCAACTGTAGCAGACAAATGAAGTAGGCTTCTAGCATGGGTGTTACTCTCAAACTCTTAAAAAAAATAAATCCCCCCTTTTTTATTTTTCTTACTTGCATAGAGCAATTGACTGTTAGGTTTCTGGATAATGAAGATACTCATCTGAAAGGTACAGCCCTAATTAACAGAAATTACCACTCACCAGCAACAGAAGCAGATTAGTCAATCCTAAATGTAAAAACAATAGTCAAGAAGTCAGTGTGTATGGTTTCAAGATATCTTTCTCATAATTAAAGTAGGTGAATTTATGTGCCTTTGCATGGCTACTCCCTGCTGGCCTCATGTCTTTATCAACGTGACCTACCTTTACTAATCCTTGAATTCAGATGTTATGCATCCAGTGTGGTATAGCCAAGATCTGTAATACCATGATTGCCATCAAGAGCTTAGAGGTCTGAGCATTACCAACATCTGTGCATTAGCACAGCTAATCCAGTATTTAGGGCCAGTGATGTTGCCCATGTAACATGGCCTTTTCTTCTACCTGATCCCTTGGCAGACGTCTTGCTACCCTGCCCTTTCTTCTAGCAGCAAGAAACTGCACTATTTTGACCTTTCTCTTTCCTCTACTATTTAACAGAAAATGATAGGAAAAAACAACTTTAGGACGTTCTGTTGCACATATATTTCCTCCAGTGAGAAGAGGAAAAGAATTAATATGTTTGAGCCAGGCCACCTGCTGAGAAAGCTTTCAGAAAAACACAGTCCAGTATCTACACCATTCACATGTAACAGAATCACAAGAGACTGAAAAATTATATAATGAATAAATTAGTATTTTCCTACCAGATAATCTACAAAAATACAAATTTAAAACAATAAGTGTTTCTTTGAAGACAAAAGCAACAGTGACATATAGGTAGCATAACACTGTAACATAAGCTGCCCCATCAGCTCAAATTCTTTGCTCCCCTTTCACAGATAGCTATTGCTTTTCTCTTTGTTAAAGGAAGAAAGGAATCAACACAATACTCACTGAACTAATTCCACAGCACCTTACAACCAGATGTATTTAATTATTGTGTGAAAACCCAGCAAGATGCCCTGTCTTGCCTATTTGATCTGCAAAAATTATTTTAATTGTAACTTTTAGTTCTCCTGCTTATGAGTACATTTCTACTTACCATCAAAGGCAGTCTAATACCTCAGTTGCTAATCACTGGCTAAGATATATAAATGATAGGCACATGTGAGTATAAGTATGTCTGCTTGACCCAGTTATGAACTACTGTTCATATAAATTATCCTCAGTGCTAGATAATATGTTCTGTCACCTTTAGTTTGCACTGCAGCTGTTTCATCTCTAAATCAATGTTCTTTGAAGGAGCTGGTGTGGCTTTACTCTTGCCAGCAGTTTGAGACAGGTGTTCTCTCAACTTTAATTTTCCTTGTAAATCTTCCTTATCCTGTTGCCACTTGGCCAGGTTGGAGGTCAACATCTGTTTTACAAACAGAAAAAACAATCACAGTTCCATCCTAAAAATATTTCTGCTTGATCATATGAGATGCTTCTCCAGTCCAAAATTCAAGAGGAATGAAACAGTATATATTGTCTGTAATTATATTGCATAATTGTTGGTTGAATTCTCTAGTACAGGCAAAGATCAAGCTCAACAGGAAAAAAAAGTTTTTTAAAAGGCAAAATAATTCAATTTTGACTGAATGCATTTACTGGTTTTACCATGACAAGCAAAAATCATCATTAAAATAACCTGTAACAGTCGTTACTGGTGAAACCTGCTTACCTAAAGGCTCTCTGGCATTCAGCAATTATTTCTACACAGAACATGAAGAAATACCAAGTTGTCTCAGACACCAGTGCATATTAAAAGTGGTTAAATGTCAAATCCATTTTAATGGTGACCACTGTTAAGCTCACCTGAATTGCTGTGTTGACAACTGCTATAAAACATACACCCTTCTCTTGGCTTTTGTTTTGATATTTGTAGGGCTTGTAGAGGTTAAAGCAAAGTGTACCAGCTGCACTAAATATCTTCTGGTTGGCTGGTCTTTACTTGTGTGTTATTTCATCCCTTTCACATACATGCACCATAGCCAGAGAACCACATACTCCATAACCTTGACTCTAGGGCTGAAGTACTTAAGTGCTAAAAGACAAGCTGGAGCAGGACAGGATAACAGATGTTAGTTGTTTATTCCACTGGGTAGGTCTTACCACCCTATACTGCAGCCAAAATGCTTCTCATTTAGCAACATAAATGCTAAGTCCAATTAGCAGACAAGCCTTGTTAGGGATTTAGTTCAAATAGATATCATGAAAACAAACTCTCAGTCTTGTTGCACTTGATCGACAACCAACAAGATTTATTCAATCTTTGTACCAATATATTTCATGGAACCCCTTACAGAGCTAATGTTTTAAGAAATTGTTTAATTTAAATAATGTCGAATGTTGTTCTGCAAAAAGGGAACTGAAATAATCTCCATGCTAGTGGTTAGCTTTCACAAAACTGTTGAGCGGGAAGCCAACAGTGGACCAAGAACTCTCTGCTCCTTAAAAGGGTAACTACAGTACTATCTTATTATTCCAAGGAAGACTGTAATACAGTAATTTAACATAAGGAACAATTGTACAAAATGAAAACCCTTCTGTTGTGAAGAATTCTGATCAGAAATCAGAGAAGATATGACAGCCTGAAATGACTAAATGTGTGTTTGATTATACGCTGGTACAAAAAAAAAAAAAAAAGGTTGAAAGAAAGTTAAAAATAGTATTCTCTTTCCAAGTAGCTTACTATTTAACTAAAAAATTAGATCTTATACTGTTTAACGATATTAGAAAAAAACTTTTCATGTATATGTATTTATATATGCAACACTCCCTGATAACGCTGAATAACCTGATAACCTGATAACTCCCTGATAACCTGAAGATCACATATATCCAAATAAAAGAAAAATTACTTATAGTCATATTTATTCCTATTAAGAATGACAAGAGAATGCTTGTAGATTTTGCATTAGCTTAAAAAAAATACCATGGGTATGAGAAACTGCATTCTGTATTTAAAGTTAAAACTCTTAACAGTATTTCTTCCACATTCATTAAGCAAACTTATTAAAGTCACTGGGCATTTTACATATGTATCTGAGATAAGCATTGTTCTTAGTAAAGGGGTTAATCTTGCCATTCCCTTCTGTGTCTGCTGTCATTATTGAAAAAGAAATAGATAGCGTCAATGTATTTCTGAATTGACTATTCCTCAATACGATATACTATTCCCATAATTAATACATTCTCAGATTAAAAGACAAAATGAAAGCTACTTCAATAAGCACAGCCAGTAGTAGTACAGAAAGACATAGTATAGAAAAATATAAGGATTATGTTAATTTGTCAAGTATAACCAATATTTCTACATGCAGAATTTCATGATTCAGTGTCTCTATAATAAATTATTCATAAAAAGAAAAGCAAGAAGAAAAAAACATAGCTAGATCAATATCTCTGTTTAAAACTAGAAATGCCCTCATATCTGCCCAAGAGAGCTTGTGACTCTCAGAAGTTTCTTAGGCTACTGCTGCTGCCAATATGCATCAGTTCTAAAATGTCCTGATTGCACTGGCCACATTCTCAAAAATTATAGCAAATATATTGAAAAAAGATAAGGCCTTCATGGGACGAGTGCTAAAGCGGACAGCTGGTTGTAGAATTTATTTACAGATGTAGAAAAAAAAAAAGAATTTAAAATAAGAATCTACATAAATTCAGAAACAGTATCAGAATGACAGGGGTGAACTGAAAGTAACACATGTACAAGGCAAACACCCTCAGCTTGCAAAAGCAGGCAAACATGCAATTGCAATCAGAGATATCAAAGAGGTTGTCTCAATACATCTGTTGACAATGTAAATATGCTACAGCACTGCTAATTCTATTCCATTACTCTTCTATTCACAATATATTGAACGGCTATGTGAAAATCCTATATCAATCTATGTGCAACATGAAAAACAGCCCCCATGCCCTAGGAAAATATTTATGCCTAAAAGATATTCCTTGCATTTACTTACTTAAGAAGCAAGTTCATTACCCTGCTGTTCCTCACCACTTGCTACATTTTAGGGCAAGCCTTTTGTTATTTTTTCTTTTTTAGACACAGTGGAAGTTTTGTGTGTGTGCTACCATGCATGCAAATCCTGAGTGACAGAGTAAAAAGAATTTACTCCAGGGGAAGAGGTCACCCGGATGAAAGGCAGAATCTTAAACACCAGCTAGACCAGATGTTGATAAAGGCAGGCTACTGCTGTTCCTCTACAATGCAGAGGCCTTTGTCCGCTGCACCTCCTCCAGAGTATTTTGGCTTAACAGATGTTTATAGGTTCAATATTTTAACATCCATCTATCTTAATCTCCTTGCTCCTGGTATACCCATGACACTCCGTTCTGCTGTTCACAAAGGAATAAGTGATGAAATCTCAGTTTCTATGTACTCAGTGTAACACTTCCACTGACTCAGCAAGGCTTTTCACCATAAATACTCTCTCAGAAAGACAGCTATGTGGAAGGCCAAATGGATTAACATAGGAAGTTCCTGGAATGGCCTATTGCTCCTTGGCATCACAACCACTCTGTGAGGGCCTTTGAACTCAGTTTACAGCAGTCACCCTCCTACTGCAACTGGCATGTATGAAAATAACATTTCTGTTAGTAGTGGCCGACTGCACTGCCACTGTTGTAACACAATCCCATGCATTTATATTTGCAAAATATATCATATAGAAAACATTTCTAAGCAAAATTATAAAACAGGATGTAAATCAGGTATTCTTGAAACCCTTTTTAAGCAATGACATAAACTTGCTTTACTACCAATTTTGTAATCCAAATATAGCTAATATACTCATATGTGTAAAAATCCTATTTGCTACGAAGCTTCCCATCCTAAAATCCTGGCACAAGAAAATATTGCAAGAACTGTAAGAAAACTGAGGTTAACACACTCCTTTTCTCTAAGACCTCTTGCTACAGTAGGCAATAAAATACATTTGCTATATGCATAGATCCTATACCAGGTTCTATATTAAGATTTAACACTTTCTATGAAACGTTTACAGAGAACTCTGTTTTCTCACAGTTTTAGCTTGATCGTGAAAAACAACAAAATAAGAAGCACTTGTTGTACACATAAAACAAGAAAGAACTTTTCAAATCATACTTGGAGGCACAGAGTTAGGTATTTATGACTTTACCCACTCTATTAAATGTTACTATAACATAATGATAAACATATTTACAATATCCAAGACAAATTTATTATGTCAACCCCATTAAACTTAGTCTTTTTTTGTTCTCTTGAATCAAAACTTTCCTCTGCCTGACGAAAAAAAAAAGCTAAAATTAATAAAGATAGTATGTAGCTGAAAATATGAAAAGATATATACTAGACTAAAAAGCTAACTGTGCTGCATACTTAATGTGATCATATAGAGAAAAGGCAAATAAGTCCAAATCCTCAATCAAAGTTCTTCTCAACCAAGTGCTGTAAGTGGTTGATTACTTAGTATTCTAGACATGAAGACAAAATATCAAACAGAAGTCTTTGGTGATTTAATATCCTAACCCTAAACTGAAACAAAGACAACCCCCAAGCAAGACAAACTTCTAAAATGTGGAACATATTTGTCATCTACTCTCCTGAAATTTTAGCAAAATCTACCAAACCACTTAGTTGTAATTTTTTTTCAGCAAAACACAGTTATCAGCAGCCGACTATGTCACAAAATGTCAAATAAATGAAGGTAATATAGAGGACTTTTTGCCAGTGCTTTAGCTAGTTGTTAGACTTCAGTAGCCTTTAGAGACCATTAAGTACCCTTTGGCTAATTGGCCAATGGTAGATTAATCCTCTTTTTATTCTAGCAGCACTATTTTAACACCCTTTGCACTCAGTCAGTGTACTATCTGAATGACAAAATAATATTGTGCATGAATAATAAGCAGAAAAGTTAAATTAACATTTCATGTTTCACATGCCATACCTATGTGTCAGGGAAAAGAACTCTCTTTAAAAGACACTGACATTCAACTTTTTTAAACAATCTGGTGTTGACATCTTACTGAAGTGAATCTTCCTAATTATTGCTAATAGCCTATCAAGGAAAAAAAAAACCTTTCCTTGAAGTGCAGTTGTCTGATATAGATGAACACAGCTCCAAAGTGCATAGTAAAGACAGGCATGACACTTGAGGTGTGCTACATTATTATGAGGTCATACTAAATATGGTTTGCAATGAACAAAGCAGCTTTTAAGGATGTGTAACACACTGAAAATGTCAATCTCTCATGAAGTGTTTAAATTAGTTCCCAGAAGAGAAATACAGACATCAGCCTGTAGATAAGAGTATTTTACTAAAGAAAAACATTTGTCCTATTGATAATGGTAAAAGAATTGCAGTTCATCTGCTTTATAAAAGC